AAGAAGGAATACTCAGGGTTCCAGTACCAAAGAGAACTGCTCAACATTCAACTATTTCAAGAGGTAGCATATGACCAAGAACCAAAGCTTGTGAAGGAAGAAGTCCAAGCTTTACTAAAGGCATTAGCTAAAAACAAGGTTCCAGGAGTTGACAGAATACCAATAGAAACATTTCAACAAGCTGATGAAGCACTGGACATTTTCATTGCTCTGTGCCAAGAAATTTGGAAGACAGATCTCTGGACAGCTCACTGGGAGAGATTCATATTTGAATCTAAAGGAAGATGACCCACCAGAATGTGGAAATTATTGAACACCATCTTTAAGATCACATGTAAGTAAAATTTTGCTGAAGATCATTCAACAATGGTTGCTGCTATACATCAACAGGTGGGAAATTCAGACCAGATCCAGATGAGTAAATGCCATCAGGAATATCACTACTGACATCAGATGAAACAGAGACTGAAAACAGAGGCAATCAGAAAGATGTTTAGTTGTGTTTTATTGACTATGTGTAGGCATTAGTGGTGTGGATCATAACAAACGATGGATAGCAGTGAGAAGAATGGGAATTCCAGAATACTTCATGTAGAAACTGTCCATGGACCAAGAAGCAACTGTTTGAGATGAACAAGGGAATACTGTGTGGTTCAAAATCAGGAAAAGTTTGCACCAGAGTTGTATCTGTTTGCTGGGAAAATAATTGGAGAAACTGGACTATCAATGAAGAAGAACGTGGCATTAGGATTGGAGGAAGGCTTATGAAAACCCTGCAATGTACAGATGACACAACCTTGCTTGTTGAAAGTGAGGAGGACTTGAAGCACTTGCTGACAAACATCAAGGACTGTGGCCTTCAGGATGGATTGCAACTCAATGTGAAGAAAAGCAAAATCTCCACAACTAGACCAGTAGGTAAAATCATGATACATGGGAAGTAGATTGAAGTGTCCAAGGATTTCATTTTGCTTGTACCCATAATCAATGCTCATAGAAGCAGTAGTCAAGAAATCAAACGACGCATCGCATTGGGCAAATCTCCTGCAGGAGACGTTTCAAACTGTTGAAGAGAAAGGATGTCACTTTGAGAACGAAGGTGTGCCTGACCCAAGTCATGATGTTTTCAATCATCTTGTATGCATATGGAAGTTGGATATTGAATAAGGACATCGAAGGGATACTGATGCATCTAACTTATGGTGCTAGTAAAACATATTGAAGGCGCCACGGCTGTCAGAAGAACCAATGCCCGTCTCAGATGAAATACAGCCAGAATAGTCCTTAGAAGTGAGGATGGCCAGACTTTGGGTGTAATATCAGGAGAGACCAATCCTTGGGAAAGGACATCAAGTTTGGTAAACTAGAAGGGCAGTGAAAAAGCGGAAGCCCCTCGAGGAGATGGATGGACACAGCAGCTGCAGCCGTGGGCTGAAACAAGTAACAAGGATGAGGCTGGCACAGAATCCGGCAGTGTTTCAGTGTATCGGGCCGAGGGTCTCTGACTTGATAGCAGCTAACAATAGCACAAGCCAGAGGAGGCTTCGGGGCTGAGGGCTGGGTTAGGAGAATCGAGGGAAACTGGACTCAAATAATTTTCTGTTTCTGAGAAACCCCAGTTGAGAAAGGCTTTGTCTTGGCGGACCCTAGACCCCTCTCCCCCCTGCCCTGCCCCATTCAGTCACCACCCCAGGTCTGGGCACACAGAGAGGCAGGGGCTGGTTCCAGGTCTCAGACCACATAGAGTTGGCGGCAAGTCCAGCACGGAGACCAGCCCAGCACCGTGTGACAGTTGACATGCTTGTTTCTGTTCCTTCTATATGTCGAAAGGGAAGCCTCACCACGGCATTGGTTTCTACATCTCTGACGGTCAAAACGTGTTTGCTGAGCTGACCCCCGGCCCTGCAAGAGTGGCGGGCCTGGGAGCCCTCAGGCAGAGGTCACGGATCCAGCTGGCTGGAGCGGTGCCTGCCTCTGGTAAGTGCACTCCAGGCTGGCATGGTTGGAGGAGGGGCTAGGGCTAAGTGGTTTCTGAAAAAGGGCAAAAATGATGGGCTCCTCTGGGAGTCCAAGTCGAAGCACCAGCAGCAGCTGCCCTCACTGGAAGCATTTTCTTTGTGTGCCAGAGTGTGCCCACAGCCCATCCTTGCCACAACGCAGCAGCCTGGGGAGGGGCTACGGCAGACCTTCAAAGAGGCAGAGGGGCAGGGCAGCTCTGCTCCCCAAACTGACCAGCTCTCCCATCAAGTGGCCACTGCCTGCTAGCTCCCACCTCTTGCTGGGTCCGGGCTGCCTGCAGCTTGCTGGTGAGTCCTTTTTGTTGCTTGCTACCTGACACAGAATCTCAGCTATTAGAATGGCAGAAGCAGGCACCCAAAGCTGGGCCATGGGCACAGGCTGCCTGGGTTTAGCTCCAGCCTTGTGGGCTTTCTAGCTGTGTGACTCTAGTCTGTTTGACTAAACTCTCATGGGCTTAGTTATTCTGTCTGAAAACTGGGGATGCTAACAGTGGCTACTTCAAAGGCTTAAGTGAAGTACTCATTATGGGGAGCTGAGCTGGGCTGATCATTAGCATATAGTGCAAATGGGGATTATTTTCTCTAGAGCCAGTCCTTCTGGGTGGGGATAGGGTTGGCGGGGGAGAGGCTGTGCCTGCTGCTGATGGCGTGGTTTATGGCTACAGGTTCTCAGCGTGTGGCTTTCTGTGGAGGGAAGGAGCGTTGGTTGGGCTGGGAGAAAGGAGCCCGGGTTCTTGTCCAAGTGTCATGGTCTCTTTGTTCTGGGAAGCGCCCCTCTCGTCATTCATCCGTGATTTGGGGAGCCCACTGCTTTCTGGCCCTCTATAGGACGATGCTCGGGTCAGGCTGGGTCCTGGACCAGCATCTCAGGAAACCACAGGCAGTGAGCAGGAAGCTGGACGCAATGGTGCTTTGGGCTGAAAGGCGGTGGGAGAACCACGCCACAGGTGTCTCTCTTGGATTGGGGAAGAGAGCAGGGAAGCCTCTCCCACATGGTGGGCACTCTTTCTCCTGGCCCTGGGGGTTGAGAAAGACCCAGAGGTCAAGCCAGTTCTTTGCTTGGCGTCAGGACCTCCTTGCCGTCCAGACTGGTGCGTTGGTGAATCTTGTGTAAAACAGAACCACCACCTCCATCGGACAACCACTGGTGTCTGCCGAAATCCCTGTTGGCGACGCCCCCCCCCAGCGTAGAACAAGCTGCGATGTCAAGGGCATTGCTGGGGGATCCCATGTCAGACACTCCCTGGTCTGGCAGTGATAGCCTGTCTAGTTCCTGTGCATTGTTCTCGTTGCTGCTGTCAGGTCCTGTTGAGCCGGTTCTACCTCACAACCGCCATTTGTACAACGGAATGAAACACTGCCTGGTCCTGGGCCATCGCACAATCGATGCTCCGTTTGAGCCCATCGTGGCTGCCATTGCATCCGTTCCTCTCCATGAGGGCCTCTCTCTCTTTTGTTCTGACCTTCGACTTGATCAAATGTCCTTCTCCAGGGACTAGCCCTTCCTGATCATATGGCCCAAGTATTTGAGACGAAGTCTCCTTATCCTTGCTTCTAAGGAGCATTCTGGCTGCCCTTCTTCCAAGACAGGTGATGTTTGTTTTTCTGGTGGTCCGTGGTATAGTCAAGCCTCGTCACCGACACCACCATTCCAAACCATCGTTCTCCGGTCTTCCTCCTTCGGCTCTGTCCACAGACGAGGTGGCTCACAATACCATGAGTTGGGTCAGACTTAGTTCTCAATGTCAAGGTGACGTCCTGGTCTTGGACACTTTAGAGAGGTCTTTTTGCAATAGATTGGCCCAGTGCGTGATGTCCTTTGATTTCTTATCGGCTGCTTCCATGAGAATTGGGATTTATTATTAATCCCCATGGAAGGTTAGAGTGAATGATCCCACAGGGCCTGTCCCACCCTCTGCCCCGGGGAGAAGCCTGGTCTCCAGCGGGGAGTCAGGGGTGGCCTGTGCAGTGCTGTCTGTGTTTGCTGACAGGATGAATGGCAAAGCCATGTGGGCTGCGTTGGGTGGACTGGATCTGGCGAGATCTGGGCCAGTCAGAGGAAGAGGGAAACTTGATAAAACAAAACACAACAAAACAACAGAGCTGAATGGTTCATGAGACGCCTGCCAACAACAGGTGCTTTCTCATGAAGCTATTAAGGACCGCTAGGCAGAGAGTGAGCTTGTGGTGGGGTTTGCAGCCAGTTGTGTGCTCATATTCCTGAGGGATGCCAGCCACGGGGTTTGGCCTGGGTCCCATTCATGTTTCTTTTGGGGGCGTTGAGCCTTTTGGGAAGCTTTGGGAGCAGGAGGGCGCTCCTGGTCAGGAAGGCAGAGCCTCCATCTCTCTGGCCTCAGGGGTGGGAGTTGCTTGGTCTGACCAGTTTCCAGGCTCTGCTCCAGGGTCTGGGGCTGAGTTCAGTGTCAATATACCGATGAACAAACCCATAAACAAACCAACAAAACATTCGTGTCCTCCATAGAGGTGGCAGAGCACCAACATGCTCTGGGCTCACACCCACTTTTCACAGTGTGACCTCAGGCAAGCAACTTGATTGTGCTGCCCCTCGCTCGGCCTCCTCATCTGTACAATACATCTAGGACCCCGGGAGAATGAAACGAGTGGCGACGGGTCAGGTGCTCACAACAGTGCCTCGTGTATTGCAGACGCTCAAAACATTCATCATTTTTGTTTTCATTAGCCTCCTGTGCATGGTAGGAAGTTCTCTTCCGACGATGCTGAAGACCAAGTTCCCGCTTCTGAAGCTTCCCGTGGCCTTTCCTGTCCGTTCTGTCCCTTGGCATCCAAGACCAACAGCCATCTGGTTCCAACCCCACCAGGGCCCACCTATCTCTGGACAACCCATTGCTTTCTCTTCTGCTTCTTCCCTGGCCCCACTCTGTCCCCTTCAATGTCAGTTCATCTCGCACCTCTTCCTTGAAGCCTCCGTGAGCAGCCTGGCCCTGCCTGTGATCTCCCAGCCCCAGCTGGGCCCTCATTCCTGTCTCAGATGGAGCCTGACTCCTCTCTGTGCCACATGCACGCATGTGAGTCCTGGGTGATGGGATGAGTCCATGGGTGAGCAGTGGAAAGCGGGGCTTTCTGCAGCAGGGCCCACTTCCTGCCGCCGGGTTTCAGCCTGATGCCCGCTTTAGAGAAAGGCTCGGGTCCTCCAGAAAGCAGAACAACAGGCAGGCAGGGAGAGGCACTAGCAGTCGCTTGTCTGTCCTGTTTACAGGATGTGAAGCCGTGAGGCTGCCCCTTCTTTCCCCTTTCTTCATGGACCTGAGCATCTGGTAGCTGCTTTGTGGCTACGGCTTAGCTTAGCCGTGTGCTTTAGGCTTGCCCTGCCTTGAACTTGCATCTGAACTCTCCGGGCTTGAGAAGCCTCCCTTTCCTTTCGTGGCTGCTTTCCAGATTCCAGCCGCTGCTGGAACATGAGCTCCTCCCGCTTGCTACAGAGGTGGGAGCTGGAAGGGGCTATCTCTGAGCTCTCTCACTTCCTGCACAGTGACGGCTGGCGGCGCTTTTCTCAGGAGGAGCCCTTGATTCTGATCTTGGGAGGGCTGGGGAGCAGAGCAGACACTGGAATCGTCTCTCCCCTGAAGATGAGGCAACTGAGGCCCAGAGAAAAGAACCAATGCATCCAGGTCCCACTGAGCCTGCTGGCTCCCTGTTGGGGCTGACTGCCAGCAGTTACTGTTCACCCAGGTCCTCTGGGGTGGAAGCCCTCCCACCTTATGCACCACCCCTGAAAGCTCCAGTCCTGGGTGGGGGTGGGGGTGGGCCTGGAGGCAACCCAGGGAGAGCAAGACAGCACTTGTCTTTGTGACTGCCCACAGGTTGGCTCTTGGGCCACAGAGGATCTGGTGAGGATGAAGAAATGGGGTAGCTCAGACTCTGGGGAGTCGGAGGACCCACCCCAGGAGGCTACCTTGCCAAACCCTAACTCCAAGTCACCTGCAGTCAAGCTGCCCATCCTCAAGGTCAAGTGTCGGCCCCGGCTCTTTGGGAAGGGTGACTCCGAGGAGGCTTCCCACATGGACAGCTCTTACGAGGAAGGCCAGGGTGCCTTCTGCCCAGCCATCACCGTCAGCTCTGCTGTCCTCCTCCCGGGGCCTGGGGATGGCCCCGCCTGTGTCAGGTAAGTAAGTCTGCTTCGGAGCCCACTCCCTCCCCTCCCAGGAACCTAACGGACTCCGCTGACTGTGGGCAGAGCCGTGGAGGAACCACGCGGTGGGCCAGCTTCTGTGCTGACGACCATCAAGCTGGAGAGGTGGGACATTCAGGGCTGTCTGGTCCAGTAGCTGCACGCAAGCAGATGGTCCTGTGGATCGGGGCTGCTGGCTTATTTCTTGGTGTCCAGATATGGAACATTATGTCTAGAAGCTTGGGTCCAGGCTGGTTTTAGAGAGGACAGAACAAGCCCAGGGAGGGGATAGCTGACTTTCCTCCCCCTCCCAAGCAGGGCAGGCTGACTCCTGGGAGCAGTGATGACCACTGCTTCATGAGCAGGGGGCTTCCCAACCCCCTGCCTCCAGGCGTCTCCATGTAGCTTTTCCCAGAGTCCCAGCTCCAGAGCAGACGGAGAGGCAAGTGGCCTGAGTGTTGGGGGTGTGGTGGTGACTGCAGGGACTTCTAGAGGGCTTACAGTCAGCGTGGGATGGCACAGAGACCGTTGCCCCTGTTACATCAGTGTCCAAGACAGTCGCCTAGACTGAGGGGCGGATATTTATATAATAATTAAAACTTTATTTTTAGAGAAGCCTTAGGTTTACAGAAAAAGTATGCAAAAGCTTCCCATGTATTCCCTTGCCCCCTACATCATGTCTCCTGTTGACAGCTTCCATTCGTGCAGTCTGTTGGTTACAATTCCAACTGACAGCATATCCGGGCTGGGGTCTTTACGGAAGCAGACTGCTGTCTTTCTCCCACTGAGAGCTGCTGGTGGATTTGAACCACAGCCTGTCAGTTAACAGTCGAGCACTCCACCCCTGCTCCACCATGGCTCCTTATCGATACATTACTATTGACTGAAGTTTACAGCTCATACATAGGAATGCTGGTGGTACCGTTGAGTAGGCACTGGACTGCCAAGCACAAGGGCAGCAGTTCGAACCCACGAGCTAGGCTGCAGGAGAAAAGGAGCCTGTCTGCTTTCATAGCTCAGCATGGCCTGGGTTTTGTAGCTCATATTTACAAGCCCTGGTGGCATTGTCAGGGGTCAGCATTGGGCTGCTAGTTGCAAAATCGGGACTTCAAATCCACTAGCTGCTCCTTGTGAATAAGATGAGGCTGTCTGCTCCCATGAAGATTTACAGCCTCGGAAACCCTACATAGTGTGTCGATGGGTCATGATCAACTCACTGACAATGGGTTATCATTCCTATGGAGGGGCCTAGTGGCACAGTTGACCACTAAGCAAGCAGTTTGAACTCACCCATCTCAGGACCCATCTGTAATCTGTTTCTGTAAAGATTCACCGCCTCTGGGCTTAGGGGCTTAGGACCATAGCTTTCGGTGACATCTAGGTCCATCATCCACAAAGATAGTGCTCTACATCCTGCTTTGGCGAGTAACTTCTGGGGTCTTAAGAGCTTGTTAGCAGTCGTCTAAGATGCCACGATGGGTCTTTTCCCGTTCTGAGCAAAGAAGAGTGAAGAAAACCAGAGGCGGAAAGAAGCAACTAGCCCAGAGGACGGATGCTGCTGTTGTGACTAGGTGCCAGGGTGTCCGTTCTGACCCATAGCAGCCCTATGCACAGCGGCACGAACCACTGAATGGTCCTGCACCACCCTCACAATTCTTCCAATGCCCAAGCCCATTGTTTCAGCCATGGTGTCAATCCATCTGGCTGAGGGTCTTCCTCTTTTTCACGGCCCCTCCACTTTGCCAAGTACGATGTCCCAGGAGATTTGCAGCTTTCACTGAGACCAGAAGAGCTGAATGGTGCCCAGCTACCACTACTGACCTCTCGGATTAGGATCATAATAGAGAGCCCTGGACAGTGAGGGAGGGAAAAAAGATAGAGAACAAAGACAAAAACCAAAAAAACAAACACATATGAACAATCAAACTTTCTGGCTTGATAGAGGCTAGTGGAAACCCCCAGACAGTGGGCCTTAGATACCCTTCAAGTCTGGAACTGAACCCACCCCTGGGGATCATCTTTCAGCCAAACCTCAGGCAGGGCTCTGAAGTGAATAACATCAGAGAGGAAGGCACTCAGTACAGCCAACCACACAAGACCAGAAGGGTAAGCTTGTCTCCACGCAAGTCTCAGAACATAGGAAGGGGCAGGACAGAAGTGTCAGAGGAAGCCAGCCTCTAACAACCGAGGGGCCAGTAGGCACAATTGCACGGTGATCATATGTGAAGCTCATAGTAAAGTCACAGAGGATACGAAAGATAGGAGAGGGAGTGCAACGAAGGAGTCAGGCACATTTCATGGTAGCACGCTCACCCCAGCCCCTCTTGATGGGCCACGTGGACCTGGGAGGAGAGAGAGGGAATCTTTACTGCCTTGGGCTATTTATAGGTAGCCATAAGACATGCATATTCAGTGGTTACATACGTCACAAGGTGGGTGGTAACTACAGTAAGGTCCCTGGGCTCACAGGTGAGGGACCTGCACTGGGGGAAGGTAGGAGGGGGGCTGGGTGACATGGGGGGAAGAGTAGTAACAGGATGTCCGCTTCTGTAGGGAGGTGGAATCCACCACGTGCTCACTTGAAGGCAGCAGAGCTGGTAGGGGAGACTCTGTGGAACGATCTTTAAAGCAGGATAACGGACTTGGACTTTAACCAAAGAGGTGGCATTCCTACCGTGGAATACTAGCTTCCCAGAGTCCCTCTGTTATAAGTTAGGGAATATAATCCTCTTCACATTTCCCACACAGAAGGATGAAGGGCAACAGGGAGCCCAGGTCGGATGTAGACAGACTGCTGCTCCCCCAGGGGAGTGCAGCAAAATGCGCATGACTTCTTGGATGGGAACCAAACTTGCTCTGTCAACTGCAGTAAAAAGAAGAAGATAAAACGCCAGTCTCAGAAACTCTATGGGGGCAGTTGCACTCTGTTCTATTGTCGAAGTGGCTGCGGGCACAGTTCTCAGTGGGATTCACTATGCAATGGGCCATCCTGGGGTTTTTGAAAAGAGTATAACATCACCCCCCACCCCCTGCCCCGTTGCAGTATCACCTAGAGCCACTCACTGTCCTAAAAGTGCCCTGTCGTCCCAATTCACCCACCCCAACCCCCAGAGTCTCTGGTCACCAGCCATCTTCTCACCGTCTCTAGTCCTCATGTCTGGCTTGCCCTGTCCAGGTTTGCCTCTGGGCTGACCCGTGTTCCCGTGCTAGCCTCTGCCTGGGCCCAGAGCATGTTTCTGCCTGCCTGCAGGCAGCTCTCTCAGGACCCTGCCCCCGCGGGCCCCGAGAAGGCTCTCTACGATCGCAGGAGGATCTTTGAAGCGGTCGCTCAGAATAACTGTGAGGAGCTGGAGAGCCTGCTGCTCTTCCTGCAGAAGAGCGAGAAGCACCTCATGGACAGCGAGTTCAAAGGTGGGGCCCCATGCCTGCGAGGGGTCAGGTTCCGGGGAGGGAACCCACCACCTGGCTGGCTCCGCCTCTCCCTTTGTCTTGCAGACCCGGAGACAGGGAAGACGTGCTTGTTAAAAGCCATGCTCAACCTCCATGATGGGCACAATGACACCATCCCCCTGCTGCTGGAGATAGCGCGGCAGACCAACAGCCTGAAGGAGCTGGTCAACGCCAGCTACACGGACAGCTACTACAAGGGTGAGGAGGAGGCTGGGGCTCTGCCCACGAGGTGCCTGGAGCCAGCCTCTGAATGCCTTACTCTCTGTGTCAGCCGCTGCAACTGGGGACCCCTGTCTACCCCAACTGCTCACTCGGTGTCTCTCGGTTGCAAGCATCCCTACTGTCCCCATCTGCCATCTTGTCCCCTGTGTCTGCGAGTCACTACCTCTCTGCCTGCTACTGTTCTTTGCTCCTGGGCCATTTTAACCTGGCTGATTCCAGGTTCAGATCCCCCGCTCCCAGGACTCTCTAGCTCTGCCTCTGTGAATTTTCTGGCCCTCTTTGGGGATCCTGGCCTGGTCTTCTTCAATGGGGATTTCAAAGGCTGCCTAGTATTCCTTCCCCCCTGCAGCAGCTGCTGCCCACCCTTGGCCCTTCCCCAACCCCTGTCTGGGCACCCCTGCAGAGTGACTGATGACCACAAAGCCAACAGCTCATCCTCCACAGGCCAGACAGCGCTCCACATTGCCATCGAGAGGCGGAACATGGCGCTAGTGACCCTGCTGGTGGAGAATGGGGCAGATGTCCAGGCAGCGGCCAACGGGGACTTCTTTAAGAAAACCAAAGGACGGCCTGGCTTCTACTTTGGTAGGGAGACTGTGTAGCTTTAAAAAAAAAAATTTTTTTTTTAAAACAATTGCTAAGGGGAGGCCGGCGTCCCTGGGCGGTGTAAATGGTTAGTGCCGTCGACTTACCAGAAACAGTTGGTTCGTCCAGAGGTGCCTCAGAAGAAAGACCTGGTGAGCTACTACCCCCAATCAGCCATTGAGAACCCCCATGGAGCCCAGTTCTACTCTGATACCCATGAGGTTGCCCGAGATTCAGCACTGGCTCTGTCGCCGCTGGCTACAGGTTCAGGGGAGGCTGATGTGGAGACAGGAGCTGGCAGCCTTTCGGTTCAGAGAGCAGCCTGATCCCCTTCCCAAGCCCCCCTGGATCACGTGCCTGGCGCTGTGCCCTGTATTGGCTGCAGGTGAGCTGCCACTCTCCCTGGCTGCATGCACTAACCAGCTGGGCATCGTGAAGTTCCTGCTGCAGAACTCCTGGCAGCCGGCCGACCTCTGCGCTCGGGACTCGGTGGGCAACACCGTGCTGCACGCCCTGGTGGAGGTGGCCGACAACACCGCCGACAACACCAAGTTTGTGACAAGCATGTACAACGAGATCCTCATCCTGGGGGCCAAGCTCCACCCAACGCTGAAGCTGGAGGAGCTCGTCAACAGGAAGGGGCTGACGCCGCTGTCGCTGGCCGCCAGTACCGGGAAGATCGGGGTGGGGAGGGGCTGCCCGGACTCCGGCTGGGGTGGGGGGCATGGGAGAGGATGGCCTGCTAGCTGCTCGTGCGGGCGCCCCACTGTGTGGTGCTCTGATTCGGTAACACCAGAGGGGGCACAGACAGGGACTGGCAGAGTGAGCCAGAGACAGTGCAGAGAGTGGGGAGAAACGTGGAGAAGCAGACATGGACATTTTCGCCTTCCACCCCTGAGCTCACAGACACAGTCAGGGCAGGGATGCTGAGGGTAGAAGCTAGTGACCAATGGAAGCTGGTGTGAAAGCAGCAAAAGTAACAGTGATGCTTTTCCAGGGTTGGAAGGAGTTTTAGGTGATAGAAGAGTCTGGAGTCACCATGCGTTGGGTTCAACTCAACAGCAACTCACAACAATGACCCCCGTCCTCCTGAGAGACTGAGCATGAACAGGGATGTGCTTCCAGAAGGCCGTGGTACTAAGAAGCCCCCTGCCCATCCACTTCCCAACAGCCCAAGTCCTACACCACCATGGTGTCATTGTTAGTTGGTGACTGCAGGCACACCAGAACAAAGGCTGCCCGGTCTGCACCATCCCCATGGCCGGTGGCAGAGGGGACTGCTGTTGTCCATACAGCGAGCGATCATTAGCTAGTTTTGGAACTTGGCGGCCGGATCGTTCTTCAGTTTCTGTTTTAGTCTGGACGCTGCACTGACATCTGTTCAGCACCATAGCAAAGACCAAGCCTTCATGGCAGAGGGGCTGGCTGAGCGTGAACCAAGCCTGGGCCTCCAGTGTGATCGATGAGAATGCTGCCACCAAACCTGAGGACGAGGAGCCTGGCTTTATGAGCTTGGTTCTATTGTGTTGATGGCGTGGCAGCTTTTCCCGAGGGTTTCTAGAACAGGGCCGTCCTAGCTGTGAGATGGGAGAGTTGGGGGGAGCCCGATGTGACCGGCTGATGGTCTGAGGAGGCTGCCGCTGGAGTCTGAGGGAGGGGAAAGGTGGCTGTATCCACCGTGGTCAGGAGGCAGCTGGACGGCAGCCGGTGCTTTTCTTGGGTGTCGCATGCGTGGGGCTGGGCTCGGAAATGGAGTTATTGTGGGAGCAGAGATGGTGGTGTGGGTAGGCCGTGGTCATTGGCAGGGCCAAGTTGACCAGGCCTCTGATGGGCTCTTTACCCGGGGCGGCAGGTATTGGCCTATATTCTGCAGAGGGAGATCCAGGAGCCCGAGTGCAGGCACCTGTCGAGGAAGTTCACGGAATGGGCCTACGGGCCCGTGCACTCTTCACTCTACGACCTGTCCTGCATCGACACCTGTGAGAAGAACTCGGTGCTCGAGGTGATCGCCTACAGCAGCAGTGAGACCCCTGTGAGTGGCCATGGGTCCGCACACAGCCGGGAGGGTGTCAGGCTTCCCTGCTCTCTTATCCATCAGAACCTATGGTTCAAGACCTAGGCTTGGAGTCCCACAGGTTCCTTAGTCCTGTCTGAGTGTTTTCCTTAAGCATGTAAGTAACCTATCCTTATATTAACCGCAAGGTCAGCAGTTCCGACCCACCAGCTGACCACTGTCGAATGACAGCAAGTCTTCACATTGGGTAGCGCCAGTCTTCCATGTCTACTGTTATTTAGCATGGTCTTGACGATTCTGAATCATTTCCCTTTCAAGGTAAACTTTAGAATCAGTCTGTCAATATCCGCAAAGTAACTTCCTGGGATTTTGATTGGGATTATGTGTAAATTGGGGAGAATTGACATTTTAGTAGAATTAAACCTTTTCTCTCTCTTTGCCCCCCCACCCCCAATTTTCTTTATTTTGTTGTTGCTGTTTAGAATCCATGCAGCCAAACCTATACCAGTTCAACACTTTCTGCAGGTGCAACTCAGCGTTACTGCTTGCAGTCTTCGACCTATGCAATCGTTCTCAACCTCACTATATGAGGGAGCTTCAAAAAGCTCCTGGAAAATTTCCATTATCCCTCGATTTCCTTTTCCCAGGAGGTTTTTGAAGCCCCTCCTACTGAGGTTTCGAATCACTCTGGAGGCCGAGATGGGTGGGAAAGCAGATTTGTGCTGGGGTCCGGAAGGCAGGGCCAGGGCACTGCCATTGAGTGGATCCCTGATGTAGACCTTTGGAGGCTGCACATCTTTTATTAAAAATCATTTTATTAGGGGTTCATACAACTCTTATCACCATCCATACACACATCAATTGTGTAAAGCACATTTGTGCATTCATTGCCCTCATCATTCTCAAAACATTTGCTCTCCACTTAAGCCTCTGCCATCAGCTCCTCATTTTTCCCCTC